AAGATATTCAATTATGCATACTTAAAAATGTACACTATATACATACAGCAATGCCTCATAATCCGATATCTCAAGTCATTTGGAATCCAAACACTTAGTAGAGGCCTTCCTAGAGATGTTAGACAGAGGGCATTCAAAGGATATTGAGTGTGAAGGGCAATGGTGGGGAACTTTTCCACTTATCAGGGGAAAAATTAAATTTTTATTCCATTTTAGATGCTTACAACTAATAAGCAAAACATCTGAATAAACCCTGTTGACTTTTACCATCTGTCTTTCCTTTGATTTTTATAATTATTAAATAATTTACATAACAGAAAAATGCAATGCTAAACTTGTTAGACTTGTGCATCATGGCTAATCATTTCATAAAGCCCCACAGCAAATAGTGGAGATTGCACTGAAAGTATAGCATGTGCTTTCAGAAAGGGTAACCAAGGTGAATGAATGTTAGAAAGTCTACTCTAGGCAAAAACAAAGATACTTGTCATGTGTTAAAACAAAGAGACTAACACATGACTCTGAGAAATTTACTTTCATCATATACATCTTTCTTTCTACAATATAATTAATTATATTGCTGTAAGTACTTAATTTAATGTTACTTAGCCTAAATGATTTATAGCAGTATTTATTATGCTTCCTTACAAATTATGCAATGTAATGGGGTATAAAACAAGGTCTTGAGTATAAACTCATAGACAAGATATTGGCAAATTATAACCTATTGTTTTTGATTTCTTGAAATATTTCTACTTAATTGTAATACTCATTTCTTCCTCATTGACATAGCATTAATATGTTTCTGACATTTCATGTTTGGGAAGCCCTTGCTTGATATCCAAGATATTTTTATAGTTTTTGAAGTCCACTTCTGTATAACTAGTTTCTCTAGTGCCATAAAGCTGAAATAGCAGGCAGGCATAACAATATGTAGCATATTTTGAAATAGAATACTACAACCAAGAAAATTGTTTATACAATCCCGGTTGTAAACTAAGCTTATTAATCTATTTGAGGGTATTAGTTTAGTTTAGTTTTTTATTAACGTCGCACTAGAAGCAACACGAGGGCTATTGGCGACGGACCTCGTAATTTTGAACCACGGTCAAGTGACGAGGACGACACCTGAGCTGGCACCCCCCCTCTCCTAACATCCACACCACGCCAACGGGAGGACTTTGGGCCCCGAACAGATTTAATGTGCATCAGCCCCGGCTACACGGCGGGTCTTTGGTGGCCAAGGATCGAACCCGCGACTGAACGAAAACCGTCAGCCGCTATCCGCGACCTTGACCACTAGGCTACCGCGGCCCCTCTATTTGAGGGTAAACTGCTATATAAACTTTCTTTATTTGCTCATCTCTCTGCAGTAAATCAAGATTATAAAGCTCCTTTCTCTCAGGTTCTTATTGTCACACTGTTCATTTGATCCATTCTATCGGTATTGCCGAATAGGACTTGGGCTTGAGCCATTTTCTAAAAGTACTGAATTTTTTTTTTTCGCGTTTGCCAAAAAAAAATTCAGTACTTTTCTATTTCTCCAGCGCAAGTGATAAAGTTGCCAAAAATAATAATACTAATGCCAAACAGAATATGTGTTTACTGTGTGTTGTCACCAATAAAGTCTGCTTGGCAATATTTGCGTCACTAAAATGGAAAAGTACCATAAATTCTTACATCCATATTTTCTATTTATTATCACTTTGCTACAAATTACATTAAAAACATTGTTTAAAAATAACAATAGGCAATATTTTTTTCACAAAAACACTGATTACAAAAACTTAAGCTTGTCCTGAACATGATTCCTGAAAGATACTTCTGCTCATGACTTATGATTATTTTCAGCTCAATAGATTTTAATTATTTACATTTATATTTAAAACAATGTTGAAAAAAATACTTTTAATACTCCTAGTAGAGGAAGCAGAAATATAGTTTTAATATTACTGTAATATTGGTATTGCACAATGGTAATAATATATAGTTACATTAATAAATTACAAAATTAATAAATATATAATGTTAAATAATAAAATAATGTCATTATAATATTGAAATATTATGGTAAACTAGAGAATTTTTTATTGGAAGAGTTCATGATATATCTGGCTATAATCTCTCTGTATACTGTTTCTCTCGTAATTGAGAAACATGCTTAAGAAATGAAAATTAAAAGAAGGTCGCTAAAAAAATCTATCTGTACAGGTACAATGTGTCTCAGGTTACAGCCTGACATGTGGGTTATTAGTAACATATCAAACTAAGAATGAAGATCAAAGGAGCATATTTGTCTAAGTGAGTGACAACATCCATGCAGATAAAAAATGTTTAAAATACTTTTGAGCACCTGTTTACATATTGATCTATTAATCCATTTATCAGTACTATCATCAATTTTCATTCACAAACATTGCAATCTAATTTTTGGTTGCTCAGGCAAGAGCAACCAAACTGCACTTTTTACTCGCATTTATTTACTGCATTTTTATTTCGAGTGTATTTCACTCACTTTTTTACTTTTTAAAATTCGAGATTAACTTTTTCCCCTTTTTAAATTTAAACTCCTGTTTCCTTCTGCGGCTAAATTAAATTAAAAATTATTTCAATTAGCAAACAACAGTAGTTTGACCTCAGGGTTACAAGTTTATTTTGGTTTGGTAAATATGATAGAATGAGTATGAAGTTCACAAATAAAGAACGGTAGTTGAAAAAATATAATATAAATAAAATAGTAAAATACTAGATATCACCGAGTTGTGCTCTACTTGTGCCTAAATACTGTATTTCCAGAATTGTGTTGCTTAATAAATCAGTCTCATTGAATATTCATATAAAATCTTACTCACATCATTAGACATCAATGGTACTAAGTCACCAACAACATCACCAATAACTTTTTTCAAATAAGCTGTTATTGTCATATCGTTACTATCAACTGCACTCGCCATTATTATTTCATCAAATACCTTGGAGTTTCCAAACGTTAACAGACAGATGGAAACGAAAAATCAATTTCAATTATATCATCAAATTAACGTGGATCAAAAAAGTATTAATCACATAGTCGAAATAAATATATTTCTCGCATATAAACACTATTTCAATATTCAAAACAGATTAAGTTGAGTTGCCAGAAACTTTAGTAGCTGTCACAATTTTGTAACTGTTGCATTCGGCGACGTTGCCCAATCCAAAGACAGATGGTTACGGGCGTTTGCATTCTGATACCTGCAACAGTTCTTACAATTTGATTCTGGAAAAACCTCAAAATTATGGAAAATTTATTATTTTAATTCCAACGTGATGGTAAGTTTTTCAAATAGGAACTTCGGAAATTAAGTCTTTATCTGTTACAACGTCAATGATCCGACCGGAGTTGTTTCCGTCAAGTCGTGAGTTACATTTCTGATTCCACTGAAAAACACGTCTTCACCGCTAAACGTTAAGTCTATCGAGGATCGATATCCTCATGTTGTCATGATACTGCTGTGCTGGCCAAATATAAAAGCCCAAAAACCATTACAAAAGCACTCAATCTTCACTTAAAAATTCTCGAAAATTATTACAACACATGGAAAATAAAAATAAATGTAGAAAAGTCTGCAGCAGTGATTTTCACCAAAAAGAGAATCATCCCTCCCCCACCCACCATGTACAATACAGAAATTCCCTGGTCTGAGTCTACCAAATACTTAGGAATAACATTTGATAAACGACTCACTTTTAAACAACACTTCATACAAACGCGTGAAAAACTCCGTAAACTCACAAGAGTTTTATACCCCTTAATTAGACGGAATTCTGAAATGTCAAAACAAAACAAAAAGCTTCTCTACACCTCCGTGATGCGTACCGTGATAACATATGCATGCCCGGTTTGGGGTTTTTCTAGTAAAACCAATATCAAAATTCTCGAAACTGCACAAAATTCTACCTTAAGAATGATAACAAAAGCTAGGTGGTTCATGAGGAATACAGAAATAAGAAAAGCCTTAAAAATCAAAACTTTCAGGAAACATATTCAAGACCTTTCTAAAAACTTCTTTACTTCATTAAATAACATAAACAATCTAAATCTCCAGATCCTTGAAAATTATATTCTACACATAAAAATAAAAAAACCTAGACAAATCTTACTTGATTCCTGTGAACCACCGTAATTTATTTCATTTTAATTTTTATTACTTTCAACCTAATCTCTCATTCCTAATTCAATATCTAAATTCATACCCCAACACCGAGCATGTCCCGCCCCCATTGAAATAGCCGCCGATCTCCAGGACAACCAATAGCAAAGCACTCACTCATCTACCTCCAAAAGTTTTTATCAACAGAAATTTTTTTTCACCCAGCCACCCACCCTCCACTCCAAGCTGAATTCAAACGATCCTATTGGCTCCCCACCCACCCCGCCTCTGAAGAAGCAAGTGCAAGCAGTTAGACCTATTCCAGCAAAATTTCAACCATATCAGGCCTACATCGCAGTTCCCGGCAAGATACGGGATGAAGGGTGGCTACGCCGCCTGGGCACCCATAGAGCTTTTTATAAGTTCCTCATGTTGTACGAAATGAAGTTTAAAAAGTATGATACTAATTTAGTTGGCGTTTTCTCAATAACCCTAGTTGCCAACAGCCTTCTTGTTGCTTTTTAGTGTGACAACAATAATCATTCAATCAAATGTGCAACGCCAAATTAAGCGCAAAGATGTATTCCTAAAGTGAAGCAAATTGACTTACAGGAGAGATTTTTCAACAACAATTAAATGGTTAGTGAGCGCCAGTCATTACGACACTTTGCACAATCTGATATATATATATATAAATAAATTAGATTTGATACACATATGATTTATCATGAAATAGAAATAGAAAGAAGAAGAATGAAGATATAGATGTATGAGATTTTTTCAGGAAAAAAAAATCATTAAAGTTTTGACTCAGACATAGTTACAATATGAGTAGAAGAAAACCCATTAAGTAAGGAAGCAGTTGCCTTTAGAGAAGCTAGGGATCGAAACCAGGGCCTTTCACATGCAAAGCGAATGCTCTACCATTGAGCTACATTTAAACTGTGAGATGTTTTTCAAAGAAGAGAAATAGATAATGGTTTGTTTTTTATTGATTTGAAATTTACTTTTTATAAAGGGATAATGACATTTGTTGCCCTACATCCTTCATCAAGGGAAATAGAACGCTTGCGAATCAACTCTGGCTTTCAAGTTATTTATAAATGTACTTTCCGTTATACTAATAACGGAAAGTACATTTTATCATAAACATTATAACTGTAGATTTCTGAATGTCGGCAATCTTCAAACTAATTCTTGATGAAGCGAGTGTTTTAGTTCTCTTTATTTGATTCTGGGAACTCCTGAGTCCTGGTAATGGAAATTTTTTAAGTTTAATCGAATTATTAAGTAAATTTGATTCTGTGCTATTGAGTCATATGAATAATAAGAAAATTCGAAAAACAGAATTTTGCGTCATTCAGCTCATAGATCACAAGAAAAAATTATTTATGCACTAGGGAAGGAAGTTCTTAATTAAATTAAAGACGATATAAAAGCAACCACGTAATAACACATGGATCAATAAGTTCCGAGACTAACCCAGAGATGGGGCTCGTAGTAAACCAGTAACCAGGTCTTTCTAGAGTACTAACCTTTGCTTGAAACGTGTCAAAATTTTAAGTCGATCGGACCAGAAACAGCTGAGTTATCGAGGTTGGAGTAAAGTCGTTTTGTAGTTTGTTTAAAAAATGGAAAAAACCGAGTTTCGTGTTCTGATAAAACATTGTTTTTTAATGGGTAAAAACACCGTGCAAGCGAAACAATGGATTGAATGGATTGAAAAATGTTACCCGGATTCTTGTCCATCAAAAGGAACGATTTGTCGGTGGTTTGCCGAGTTTAAACGTGGTCGTACCGACACAAATGACGCGGAACGCTCGGGTAGACCTGTGGAAGCCGTTACACCGGAAAATGTGAGTGAAGTGACAAAAATTATAATGAAAGATCGTAAAGTGAAGCTCCGTGAGATTGCTGAGATGACACAGATATCATATGGAAGTGTATTTACTATCCTTCATGAAAAATTGAGCATGAAAAAGGTTTTTTCCAAGTGGGTGCCGCGATTGCTTTCGATGGAACAAAAACAGCAACGAGTCGATGATTCAGAAAGCTGTTTATCGCTATTTACTCGCAACAAAAAAGATTTCTTGCGTCGTTACGTGACCATGGACGAAACATGGATACATCACTACACTCCAGTGTCGAAGCGGCAGTGGCGCACAGCTGGCGAAAGCCGTCCGAAAACGCAGCAGTCAGCTGGCAAAGTCATGGCGTCAATTTTTTGGGATACGCATGGCGTGATTTTCATTGACTACCTCGAAAAAGGTAAATCGATCAACAGTGATTTTTATATTGACTTGTTGGTGCGTTTGAAGGAGGAAATCGCAAAAAAACGACCGCACTGTCTCGGGACTTATTGATCCATGTGTTACAATACATTATCCAAATGGGTTGTACTCCTGATATCTCCCATAAGGAGCATACTTCAGTCATTAGGTATGTAAATTTTGATGACGAAAGATTAACTAGTTAATTGTGTCATTTATAAGATTTATATTGAAGTAACTGATGTGATTGAAGAAATACTAGTATATAAAAACTCTATCGAAAAGATTAAGTGAGCTTAATTTTTAGATATTAGGAATTGTAGAAGGTAAGCATATGACAACGGTAGCAATATGAAAGAGAAATATAAAGGTGCACTGTCTAGAATAATTGCTCTGAACCCTCAAGCAGTTTTTATGCCTTGCCTATCACATTCCCTTAATGTATTAATATGTGATGCCTTTTCCAGCAGAATATATTTTTAAAAATTTTTTGAGATATTGCAATGTTTGCATTGCTTATTTTCTGCATCTACAAAAAGGTGGGAAATTCTATAAAAGCATTTAAGCATTATATTTAAACCAGTATGTGACATTCATTGGGAAGCCAAAATAGTTTCGGTTGAAGTAGTGTATACACAGTTTGAACAAACTTGTAATCCCATAATAATACAGCGATTTAATGTAAATAAGGATAATACAGCGATATCCGAAACTAAAAGTCCATTGGATTCAACACAAGAAATGTTATTATTTTAGGTTAAATAGTATGATTTGCAATACTGTCCAAAATTAACGCCCTCAATAAACTATTTCAAGCAAAAATAATTGTACTTGACTCAGCTTTTAATTTAGTCAATAACATTAAAACTGAAATCCAAAATGTAAGAAAAAAATTTAACACATTTTTAGACGAAGCAAAAGTGCTAGCATGTAATTTGAACATTTCAAAACATTTCCTGAAAAACAAATTCGAAAAAGAAAAAGATTATATTTCGCAATAGCAGAAGATGAAGATATAGGAAATCCGGTAGAGGAATTTAGATGTTATTTTTTCAACACCGTAATTGATATTGTTATTGTACAAACAGAAGATAGACTTAAAAGTGTACCAAACATTATTTTTTATTTCAAATTAATCACTGATATACCTGACTTTAGATAAACATGAATTAGATAAATGTTTCAAAAACTTTGTAAGGTTTTATAACAAAGATGTAGATCAAAACCTAATCTAGGAAATTGGTTTGCTATGGGATTTGATTTTGAATGAAAGGAATGTAACGCACAAGACATATTGCAATATATACTATATAATAATTATAGTGAGTTATTTCTAAATTTTTTAACTGTGTGCGTTAAAACGTTTCTTTACATTGCCAGTTGCAAATGCTGAGAGCTCTTTCAGCAAATTAAAATTAATAAAGAATTATCTTCAGTCAAGCATGTGAGCAGAACACTTAAATGCTCTTGCATTGGAAAAGAAATTACAAAAAATTTAAATTTTTCTGAAGTAAATAATGTATTGGCAAAACCAAAATTATGCATTGAATAAACATGCATAAGTAATGTATGTCGTGTTTATAATATAATTTTTTTTTTACTTTACGAAATATTTAGGGCCCCTAATGGTTTTTTGTGTCCAGGCCTCTTTATAGAGAAGGCTGTCTCTGCATATCAATTTTTACACATCATTTCAATCACTCACAAAATATAAATATATTACTTATTTTTCATTATGTACTTTTTAAAAACAAAATTGTTAAAATTTTAATTCATGTATTTAATAGTTAGTACTCAGATTCTCCCTGCTCAGCATCTTGCTGTGTTGTTCCTATTTTCTTGTAATTTTTTTAATTGTATTGATGAATATTCGTAGAGAAGGAGTGAAGTAAACGCTACACAAGTTCCTCTTTCTTCCAAAATAATTTTAATTCTCAAAATTATTCATAAACACTTTTTCCTGTTCCATTCCTTAGTTATATCTTTGTTGACATCACTCTTGAAAATACTTTTCTACGTTTTAATTACTTAGGAGTAAGCTGTATAGTTTAAAAACAAATGCAGCTAAGACTATTAAAACTAGAATTTGCAGAATTTAAATGAATGTACTGAATTTTCATGTATGAGTTTAATTCCAGCGATAAAAATAATTCAATAGTAACTCAAGATACTTATTTTTGAAGTTGGACATAATAACGGAATCCATCCATTACCATATCAAACTTGCAATAATTACTTCCACTTCAATCCCCCATAACCATAAGCATTCCAATTGAAACATTTTCGATTTATCCATACCCAACAGTATTCAAACCCCCATCACTCACTGCTTCCCCTCCCCTAACCTACTCAACCACTTTAATTCAAGAGCAATTCCTACCTTCATAAATCAGGCTGAGTTTATGTTAAAGCGTATGTAATTAAATAGTCTATATAAAAACTTCGCTATCCATCTTTCTCCTTCCTTTTCTATTTCTTTAAAGTCCTCGTCTTAGTAATAAAAAAAGCTTTGAAATTATCAAAATTAATTTACCTGTAAAATTAAATTTTAAAAAGGATAAACGAGATCTACCAAGCATGTGTGTGGGTAAAACCGTTTACGGAGGCGCAAGTAAGGTAAAATAACATAAATAAATAATAATAATAAATAAAGAGATTAAAAAAAAATCTCATCCTGTTTTTTCCCTCCTATATCTTCACTCTTCTTCTTTCTCTTCCCATTTCAAGATAAATCATATGAATTTAATATACATTTTAATATGATTGGTTAATTTTTTAACAAATTTCATGTATAATATAAAAAAAATCCGATTGAGCAAAGTGTCGCTATGATTGGCGCTCGCTAACCATTTGATTGTTGTTGAGGTTGGAACATCCTTCGTTCCCCTTAACCGTAGCCGACCAGAAATGGCTAACTTTTGATTTAAGGGTGATTATATAATTAAAGATGCATTCTTAAGAGGTAGTAAGATAAGAACCACAGGTCAGAATGGCTTGAAATTTGATCTGAACATACATGAAGCACTAGGAATTTGTGAAGAAAATAAAATAAACTATATATTTCGAAGAAGAAAACTGTAATTCATAGCGCTAAACTCATCATATTATGTAAATTAAAAGGCATGATACACGCATCGCATGTTACCCTTGTCGTATAAGTGCAAAGTACTTGCAGCTTCCATTATTTTTTATCTGAAAAGTGAAGAGTATCCTTACTATACGGTGCTGAAGAATTTTTCGAAACGCGCACAACATCGTCTATTGGAACAAGTAACATTCTATTATGGCACTCGCGTTCTCTAGGCTATGTCTAATACATTCACGTTAGAAGTAGCGGTATAAAAGACGAGTCCCAAAAGTAAGTTGAATGACCTCGCGCCGCTGAAGCAAGTCGCTAGCAATGCGCACGCAGTGACGAGAAAGGTGGTGGTGGGAGTTTCAGAAAGCCAGTGATACTCTCCTTAGTTACCTGCAGGCAGTTCTGCAGTGTACGTCACTGCTAGTTCAACCTCCTCCCCCCCTTGTTTTAGTAACTCATCTGAATTTCAAAATGCAGCATTTCAAGGACCAGTGTCACGCGATAAAATTTTGTGTTGCGCTCAAGAAAACGGACGCTGAGACCGTTGCCATACTGAGGGAAGCTTATGGAGATAATACCATATCCCAAAATA